CCATCTTTATAGAGTGACCTGTAAAGTCTTTATCGTTGTATAGATGAATACAATGATAAAACAAGTGCTTCTAGAATCTTGGGCATATCCAAGAGTAGAGGCAGATGTTCTGGTTGTACCTTTTCTAGACCACAAAAGTTCTGATGATCTGGTAGTCTTAACTTTGCTGGCTTATTGGTTTTATTTTCTCCTGGATGACCGGTTTGGAGAAATACAGGTTATTGTTTCAATTGACAAGTGACTGGTAATATCACTAGGAATAATATTAACAGTCTAACTGTTTTTTGTATCTCTAGTATTAATGAAAATCCACGCTCTAGCATCTAGCTTATTGCTTTAGCAATGATGGTTTGTATAGTGGAAATGTAAAGTGTTTGCTCTGATTCAGAAGATATCTGGGTTTGTTTGTTAAGTAGCACAGACATGTGATATGTTAATGTATTACATTGGGGTGGAATGTGTTTAGATAGATGACAGGAGTGATTGAACTCCTGTCTCATGAATTATGTCTCATCAAGATATTTATTGCCTTTTGCTGATTTTTCACCAAAAAAGTTTATAAGTTACTGTAAAGTCATTATGTCCATAAACATATTGTAAATGTGGAACTGAGGTAATTTCAAACGCATCGTAGACCAGCTCTGGGGAATAAGGTGTCTCAAACACACCACTGAATACACGTAGGCAAAGAAATAAATTGAAATTTTGGGGCTCTGAAAGAAACCGGTTGGAGGAAAATGCTCCACAGTTTATCCAAGATGATACCTTGATTGGACTTGATGATCCTGACGAGTCCCTTCCAGCTCAGGATATTCTATGATTTTATGACCTTTAGAAGTGGTTAGGAGTTTTGTTTTACAAGTCCAATGTTCATTCACTATGCACAAATAGCAAACTTCTGGCAATGTTTTACTTTACGTGGGTTCTTTTTAGCTCTAATAATAATTATTATTTTCTAAATTTCTATTGAAATAAATACTTTCTATACCACAATGTGGTGGCCAGAAATTCACCTGCAAGAGTAACAAAGATTAACTAGGCATTGCAAGATCTCAGTTCATTCTGAGAGTCGTTAGTATCTTTATGTCAAAATGTTCCAGGCTTCTCAGGCAGATTTATCCCAGATGCTTGCATACATTTATTTGCTATTATCATATGGATTATGTATACAGAGTTGTAAAACAGCAATTTTTTTTCAGAGGTTCCATATAGAACAATGTCGAAAACTATAAAATGTTACTAATCAATATGGTAATAAGAGGCTCCTGGTGCAAACCGCTACATATGACCTGAATTTACAATGCATGAGATAAAAAAAGAATTAATATCCTGCTGATTTACTGTAAGTCTACCATCACCTAGAAGAAGCAGTTCTGATAAGAGAGAAAAAGTATTAAATGACACTGCTTATTTCATGTGTGATCCAATATTGCCTTTTGGGAAATATTAGGCATTTCAAACAAAGAAGTGTAAACGAAAATACAGATTTAGGCCAATACTTTTCATGGTCAAGTTATAAACAATCTTCCTCTCTCACTGTCTATAAGAATTATTTCACACCTTTGCTCTAGAAGCGATAATTCAGACCTTTTGGCATTGGTCACTAGTCAATAAATTAGATGGTTGGAATAATGTTGGAACCTTATGACTCTGGTCCTTAATAAAGTAAAGGAAAAAAAGTCTTTTCATTCTCTTTTTCTTATGCTCTGAGGGCAAGCAATGTTACTGTTGTGTCCTATGACTGTCATCCTATATTCATCTGCACTCTTAAATCTGTGCTTCAAGTCCAGTTTGTATGTATGGATTGCTGCAGCATGAGACTTCAGTGGGACGGAAAACAGTCTCAAAGAGCAAAGAATGCAGCTTCTTATTTTAAGAAATCTTGATCTATTATATCTTCTATGTAAAAACAAGATGATTTTTTTCCTCCCACCTATTTTGCAATCAGCCAACATACATTCCTCATTCAGTTGCATGGACTACTCTGACTTAGAGATTTCACATCATAAAACTTAAATAAATTTTTAAGTTATTTTAATTAGCGTAACTTCCAGAGGCATTAACTGAGCTGAGGAAATTTTAGATATTGGACATATTTTTCCTAAGAGATGTATCCCAGAATACTTAAAGACCTAGACTAAGATCTTATACAGCCTAGTTACTCTCTCCTTCAGTACTCCTTTCTTCAGGGTTGCGTCAAAGATTAGGAAATACAAAGGAAAGGGTTATTATTTTATTTATTATTGTCCCTATTTTGCAAAGTGCTTCCTATATGTGAACCTCTAGGAAGTCTGTGGCAGAACCAAACTTGTTGATTAAGCAGACAAATTTCCATAACATTCTTTATGGCTTTTGACTGAAATTCAGTTGCCTGAAAGAAAAAAAAATAGGGGGTGGTACAAAAATGTGTAAAATAATCTTAGCAACTTTTTTTTTTCCTGACTATGACAATGTGTAAATTTGTTTTCAGATGTGACTTGCAAGTGATGGAAGTCAACCACATGTAGCTTTCCATCAATTTCAACTACTAAGTGAGAAAAAAAGGGTGAGTCAGCATGTGCAGCACTGAACCTTGATCTTCCTTGTGTCTATTTTTAAGTGACCTAAATCACCATGGAATAGTTCAATGAGGTTTTAGCAGAGTTCTCACCAAGATTCCTTCAGTAGGATCATCAAACACATATTTCATGCTTTGGTGTATCATCAAATGCAGATTCCCTGGGAAGTCAAAGTAACAAAGTTTAGTAATTTACACCACAGTTGGTCCAAAAGGATGTCTGCTTGTACGCTTGTAAATTAGAGAACCAACAAGAACAAGTAGAAATGTGGTTTTCCTATCACGGGGCTATTGGAGGTTTTTCCTGTTGCTTCTTCAGTGACTTTGTATTTTCAACTATTCAAATTTCACATCTTTCCCTTGTACAGGATGTACAGCAATAAAAATATGTAAACCTAATAGTGTTTTTCTATACTTACTAAATGTGTTAACTAAAAGGTAGACACTGTTAGTAGAAGTCACAAAATATGTTTATTTGAAAGCTATTATTATCCTAACAGAAAATAAATACTATTTAGTACTGGTTGAAAACTCATAATTTTTGTCTTCCTGATAATGAAACTCATAGTTATTTCTGTCCTAGGTTTTCAGAGGAATGACTGCAGAAATAGGGATAACCAGAGAGTTTCATGCCTATTTTAAAAGTGCTACTAGGATTAATTGCCATCAGTGCAACACCATCTGTCATTGTCCGACAACAACATATCATGTACACATCCAATTAGTAAATTCAGGATGCAGTTTAATTAATCAAATATAAAGCTTCCAATCTAAGACTTGTTATTTCTCTATTCACTTCAATATTCTCTTATTTCATTTGATATAGTCTCATCCCTCTTTTTTCTGCTCTTTGCTTTACTTCACCTTCAGTTTGCATCTCAAATTGCACTTAGAAAACAATATTTTTTCACAGTTTTATGCACTTTGCCTATCATATATACAAAGATCTAATTTAGAACTATGATAAGTAGTCTTTTTATTCAAAGTACAACCTAACTAAAAGGATTAATGATATTTTTGATCTTCACATTTGAAAAATCAAAATATTTCTGGCACTGTTGCCTAGGCTTTCTTCACTTACAGGTTCAAACGGCAGAAAATTGCATTAAGCACAGCAATAACCTTTGTTCATTATCTTTATTCCTCTAAAGAAAGAGTCTGGGAGGTTCTGTGTGCTTGCCTATGTACATTTGTGCTTCATTGAAAATCCATGACAGTGTGTTGGAAGAAAATATTGTGGGAATTGTTTTCTAAGCTTGGATTTCTTTGCAGTAGGAGAGGAGTTTTTTCATCAAATTTGATAAATAACTTCACTGATAAATAAATTTTACTCCTATAAGACTGTCATGCTATGACAGAATATTTCCAAAGCACATATTGTTCCTGGTGGTGATGGTAGAAATTTTAAACATGCTTAACTATTTGATCCTGTAAGAATGTTTTTGTAGCTTCTCCTTTCGTTCAAATGGTCAGCTGTAGATACTAGTTTTATCTCATGATTTCATTCTGCTGTTGTCAAAATGATCACAGTGGAAAATATTTCTTTCCAAAGATGTTGTATAAGTATAGAAATGTCATTTTTCTCTCTAAAATGTTTGTTTTGAATGGCCTGATTATTGTAAGGTAAAGAATGGTAATCCCAGTACTGAGGAAGGCATCTGTCCCCAAAGCAGGAAGATGTATTTTTGTACATTACAGAGACAGCCTTCCAGTTTTTCTTATTGTTTACCTTGAATACTTGTCTGCTTTTTCATCATTTGTTTGAAAATAATTCCACAAATGTATTTTAAAAACATACAGAACAAGAAACATAGTGAGTAAAATGACCTCTTGATACTTGCAGCTGCCTTTCATCACTCATTATCTATCATTCCTAATGATATTAGGTATTAGCACCCAGATGATATTATTATAATGATATTAGGTATGAGCACCCTGAATAGATTACATCCTGGAATTAGGGCTATTGAGACAAGATCTTTCTGAAGGTCCTTTGGACCCCTTAATCTATGCTAATTGCTGGGTTAATGTTCTGGGGAAAAAAAAAGTAATAATAAACCTCACATTTAAAATGTTGCTTAAACAGTTCTCATACATAACCCTGAATGCTGGCACTCTGAGATCAGTGACTGTAACCCCGAAATCTCATTTCTACTTTTTCACATATACATGTTCCTTGATCCTTTCAATGACAGTGTTTGTGAGCAGTAATAAAATTACAGGGCATTTTGTACAGCAGCATGCTTAAGATACCAGACAAGAGTGATGAATGACTGTGGGGAGAGCTGACTTAAATTCACCCCCAAGGTCAATACTACGGGTTGGGTTGGTAAAAAAAATACAGATGTTTAAGAAATACAATTCATTGTTAAGCAAGACTTAACTGTAGTTCTGTTTTTTACTTGATGTTGTAGAGCACGTTTTCCGGAAGAGAGAGTGATACCTTCTATTGCATGCCGTGCCATCCAGCTCCTGAGTAAAATGATCCTTGAGTTTCAGCTCTTGACCATCAGCACTGTTCCCTTTGTCCTGAAACACACAGATCATATCTTAAAAAGATATTATATCATGATACTATATCTTCAAAGGTTCCTTAATCCTTGAATGTCAGTTCCTTATTTTTCCTGTGTTATTGAAAGACTTCTTCCAGTGAGTGCACACAAAAAGTAGCTGGCAGAACAATGGTAGGATCAGGCCTAGAAAATGCCCTCCTATTTACCAACACATGAAAAAATGAATTCAATCTATACTTGCAAACACAAAAACATGTCAGGTTTTGTATTGTTTTTCCTCTTCAGCTTTTTCTCACAAGTTTTAAAATAGCTATAAGCTGTTTGTTCATACTAATGTAGGCCGGTAACCACTCTTTCACCCTCTTCACTATTAAGAGTCTTCTGTGCTTGGTCTTTCTCAGAAGACTTTGTATTCATTCGTGCCTGCAAAAATTCAGTTCCACAGATGTCTGATACTTCTCATAAGACTAACCAGAGAAAATGTCTTATTTTAAATGGGAAAGGATATTGGCCAAAAAAAGATAAGCCATCCAAGTAAAGGAAAGAGCTTGATATACAAAGTAATGTGGTCATTGAGAAGGATATGCAAGTGTGTCTGTGATCCAAAAATCACTCTTTTGGTTGCTGTCTGATCCCATAGGACCTGTCTTGCTGAGGGCTGTGAAGAAGGAGAGGGTTGTTTGGCACTAGAACAGGCTCCACAGAAAAGTGGTCGCAGCACCAAGACTGACAGAGTTCAAGAAGTGTTTGATGACACTCTCAGGCACCTGCTGTGACTCTTGTGGACGGTCTTGTGCAGGACCAGGAGCTGCACTCAATGAGCCTTGTGGGTCCTTTCCAACTCAGCATATTCTCTGATTCTGTGAAATACTCGCGCTTTTGCAGAGTTTTGCCACGTTGACAAAGCTTGGGCGTTGTCATTACTGATGTTCTTATGTCAAATCACCACTGCTCCACACACATCCCTGGAGCCCCTATAACCCACACAAGGCACCAGCAGGGAGGACATTTTGTGGTAAGAAGATACATTAAATTTTTCCCAGTGGCTCTGAGGGATGTGGGAGATGTGATCTGAGTGTTGCCCTCCAACACCATTTACAAGCTATCATCTCACCCAGTGCCTGCTGGAAACAGTCTCATATACCTCAACCAGAGTTCAGAGAATGGCTTTTGAGTGAGGTCTGTCCTGTGTGCTCTACCAAGGCCTGTGGCATTTTCAGCTGTGAAATACTGGTGTCACAAGAAATAGGAAGGGAAGGCATTTGAGTGGCAGCATCGATAAATCAGGGAAGTACTGACTCCACATTCCTCTTTGTGCTTGAAAAGATCATAGCACTCTGATGTGAAGAGGACACGGGGCAAGCAAAGCAAACACAAGATCTCATGGTGCTTGCTCTCATGGACAGGCTAACAGCTCACACAGTCTCCTGTTCATCAATAATGTTCACATTTCACCAGATGAAGTAAAGAGAGTTGTACAGAGGCAGGGACAGACCTCCCTTGGCCAGTCCAGCATGGACCAGGTGCTCCTCCTCCATTGTGGAGAGGCAGGGCACTCCTCCACCATATCTCCTCAAGGATGTACTCTTGCATTTAGAAATTTCTGTGGATGTGTGCAAACTAACAGGGAGCGTCTATGGCTATAATCAATGCTTAGTCCATAGTTCTTCAAATACTGCATAAACAGAGAGGTCAGGATAACAATACTGGGAGAGTTGGGGTTGTTCAACCTGGAGAAGAGAAAGCTCCAGAGAAATCTCATAGCATCCTTGTAGGGCCTAAAGGAGCCTACAAGAAAGATGGAGAGGGACTTTTCACAAGGGCATGTAGTGGTTGGACAAGGGGCAAAAGCCTTAAGCTGAAAGAGAGCAGGTTTAGATTAGACATTAGGAAGAAATTTTTTACTGTGAGGGTGGCGAGACAGTGACAGAGAATGTGAGGGTGGCGGAACAGGTTACTCAGAGAAGCTGTGAACTCCCCATCCCTGGAGCTGTTCAAGGCCAGGTTGGATGGGGCTCTGAACAACCTGGTCTAGTAGAAGTTGTCCCTGCTCATGGCGGGAGGGATTGCAACTAGATAATCTCTAAGGTCCCTTCCAATCCAAACTATTCAGTGAGTCTATATTCTATTATTCTATGATTCTATACACTTATCCCTTTAGCCTGTAGCTTTTCTACAGAAGAATTTCTACTGCCACCAACTTAAAGGAACGTATATTTGTCTCACGCTTTCCATAGCCAGCTTTGGGGATTATGGATTCACCATGTCCTGGTAGCACTGGTTTCAGGTCAGATTGGGAATGAGCACATTTAGTGTCAAACCTTTTTAAGGTGAATTTATTGACTCAGTACGCCATAGTCTACATGAGAACAACTTTTTACCCCTTTTTTTCTCTTTTATCTCTGATGTGTGCATTGTGCATCCTTCAGTCTTTCTTAGTTATTTTTGTTTTTTCTCTGGTCTTCCTTCCCTTTCCTTTTTCTTTTTGTCCTTGCATAACTGACACGTGAGTGTGCATCAGTTTTCTTTGCATTCAGAATCAGTTAGCCGTGGCACAAAATACTAAGGTCGAAGAGCAGAGAAACACAATTATGGTACTTCAATATCCTGCTTTGGAGAGGCTTCAGAACAAACTCTGACATTTAATGAATCAATATACAGTTGCCATGACAACCTTAGTGATCACATTTGACCTTGCCACCATGGAATCCTTCCTTTAAGAAACAGGGAAACAAGAGTGTTTGCTGCATGAACTTTCATACTCCTGATTAAAAACTGAACGCCAAGTTCTGAACAGCCCAGCAGCATCTGTGGTATGATTAGTGTAAGAAAAAAATAATGCATTAAATTGTGGCTCTATGTTTTGAATGTTTCTTTGAGGTCACAGGTATGGGACAAACTGGAATTTTAAGTACTTTGGAATCAGATTCTTCTTATGTAGAACAAGTTGCAGAAAAAAAAACAATCAGAAGATCACATTGTCTTTCTGTCTCTCTGTAAGTCTGTTGTGTTTTATTATAATACCTTGAATCATGTTTTTTGGAGCAGGGATTAGCAATTGTAGTGAATATGCATCATAGCTAATCTTGGGTGATGTGATCTCTTGTGTTGGCAAGAAGCTGAGCTGTTGTCAACTACCTTATTGCTACTTTGCAACAATTAAAATGCACTTTAAAATATGCTAAAAACAAACAATAATGAACAAGAGTTTGAGAGAGTAACAGTACCTGGATTGATCTTGGAGGGTAATCATTGCCTCCACTGACACTTTCAGGCTGAGTACATAAAGGTGTAAGCTATTCAAACAGCATAATGCCTCTTGCCTTGTTGCTTTGTGATATTCACCATATGCAGACAGTGCCATTCCTTCTTGTTTTAATAATGCCTCTCTTGACATATAGCTACTTATTATTTTCTGACTGTTAATTTTTACAGCTTCATTCTCCTACAAACATGCTGTTTGAACTTATGAAACAATAAAACCTTGTATTCACCTAGGGACTCTTTAAAACATCATCTAATAAAAATCTTTAATATGTAGTTCTTGCTCTTTGGGAAGGTTTATGTACAGCATCTTTGTGTTCTGTTCCCCAGTGTGTCTTGGGATGGAACTATGTCGACCCCAATATCAAGCAGTTCAAATTCTTTGGATTTCTTATTCCCTTCGTTTTTAGTTTTTTTCTTTTCTTTTTTTTTTTTTTTTTTTTTTTTTTTTTTATGAAAAGATTGTAAAATCCAGAAAACTGGAGTAGACATCTGGAATGGTTGCCTCTCAGCTGAGGAGAAAAGTTCGTGGTAAGAAACCTACCAGTTTGCTGGGCGATAGCGAATACATGCCACAGCAGAAATGTGTTGATGGATTTTCAAATGACAGGAGCTAGGAGGTGATGGAACCTGTGTAAGTTAATACATGCACATTTCTCTGTGCCCTCTTTTTCTAGATTTACCTTTTGATTGGACTTAATCCAACTAATTTTACATTTTCTCCTTTTGGAAAATTTTCCCTATAATGTGATTACTCTTCAGGTTAAGAAAAACATAAATTTTGGGGAAAATATTTGTTTTCTAATTAAATTTAAGTTTCTGGAAGACTTAAACACTTTTGCAAAAAGTGTTTGTTCCATTAAGAGTAGGGTGCTGAGTGCTGTATGTTGCGTTGGCCTGAGTCAGTAAGATCTACAGCCTCTCTGTTGTCATTTGCATCTTTTTTTTATAAAAGAACTTAATTTGGAAATTTTGAAGATGTAAAAAAAAATTTATGATCTTTTTCAACCCTCATGTATACCCTCATTCTATTAAATTTTCAACTGGTTTCACACAAGTTACATTTCTTTAGATCCCCTTGATACTTAGATAATGGTGTACTTTTTCTAGTGATGTAAAAAGTGATTCTCACATGGACTACTAGAATCACTTTTTACATCACTAGAAAAAGTTCAAAAACTAGTGATGAGTGGTGCAGTAAAAAAAGTTTTCTCTAAAAAATTGGAGAAATCATTTGTAAAAATGATGTGACATTGAAACAAATCTGGCTATTATATACAAGGGTTTTAGGTCTGTTTAAGTTAACTACAAAATTGAATTTTCTGCTTCTTTTACAATTTTTTTCTGCAGGAAGTTCATTTTAGGCTTTAACACTTTCCCACAGTTTTTAGCATTAAATAGTGCCCTGATACTGTTTTATATTATATTGCAGTATTTTATTTTCAAGTCTTCACCTTTTTTTTTTTGACTAAAATAACATACCTGATGTGGCTATATTTACAGTATTTGACCTTTCAAAAGACTGTGCTCTTTCCAAAAATCATTCCAGTTGTCAAGAAAACTATGGCTATAAATCAAGACCTATGCTTTGTGTCAGACTGCTAAGCTCTGTGAGGGCCTAGCAAAGCTGGTTCAGGATGGCACCAAGCTGGTAAGATCCTGTTGGTATGAAGGCTCCTAATATTAATGCATCACTCTGATATCTGATAGGTTTGAGGTGCCCGGGGCAGGAGGGTTACCAGAAAAAACAGG